GATACGGGCAGGAGGCTGGAGGATATGGAGGAGACAATGAAACTCCTAATAGACTCTCACTTCCCACCCGGTATATCGAATAACATAGATGAACCGATAATGGAGGAAGGGGAGGCTAACACGGAAATTGTAATTACATCTGATATGGTTAAAGCGGCAATCAAGGGCAATATTTATACCTAAACCAGGGAAACCTAGCTATTCGACACCTAAGTCTTATCGACCGATAAGTCTTACGTGATTCCTACTTAAAACCTTGGAACGGATAGTCGATAGTATGATTAAAAGCAGTATACCCGACAAAGACCAAAAATTTAAGCAGCATGCTTATGTAAAGGGACGATCGGTGGAAACCGCTTTAAACGAAGTTGTCCACTACATAGCTGCATCCTTTGATAGCAAACTATATACACTGGAGGTATGTATTGACATCGAAGGCGCCTTCAATAACGTGCTCACTGATACTCTTATACAATCCACAGACCCGTTTTAAGTTGACCGGGTACTCCGTAACTAGATCAACCACATGCTAAGGCACAGATGGAGAGGCTGCGAGATGTACGATATAACTATCAGGAAAAAGTTATTCCGCGGTATACCACAGGGTGACATTTTGTCACCTTTACTCTGGGTTACCACGATTAATAGCCTCCTAAGGACCCTAACCGAGAAAGGACTTAGACCTGACTGCTATGCAGGCGATGTCGTAATACTTTAAAGTATTACTTGTGTAGAAGAGCTGAGGAGGCTCTGAATACGGCCTTGAGCTGGGCTCAACCCGGCAAAAATGGAAATCAGTCTTTTCACAAGACAAAAGTTTCTACGTATACTGAACCTTGCTTCCTGGGCAAGAAGATACCAGTGACAGACAAAGTTAAGTACTTAGGTGTAATACTCGACCGGAAATTAAAATGGAGACACCACATAGAGCATAGGATCAACAAGGCACATCGGTGCTGAGCGATATGTAGGAGAACTATAGGCATGAAATGACAACTATGACAAATTGGCTTTATAAAAGTGTAATTAGACCAATTCTAGCTTATGCTTCAATAATCTGGTGGACTGCTTTAGACAACAAGTGCAATATCAAACTACTACAGGGAGTTCAGCGTACATGGGTATAAGTGGTGCCATGTGTACTATTTCAACCAAGTCTCTGGAAACGTTGCTAGATATTCCACCCATTGAAACACATTTAAGATATGATAAAAATTAAAACAATCAGAAAAACGTTCGCAATAATAGACAAATAAGAAAGTATAGTCGGGCGTGGCCGACCATATGATACCCTACACCAGTTATGAATATTAAATGTGATTTATTTTTCATAATAAAGCATTTATCTTCAATATTCCCTTGTTCCAATACATTTAAGCAATTTATGGATGAAAAACTAATTTTCTGAAAGAGGCTTTATATGGGGGCTAGGGGCAAATATGGACCAAGCCCGATAAAATTTTGTGAATATATTTATATTTACATAATATTTTATTGTGCTGAATTTCATCGCGATATTTGTGTTTATAAGTTAATTTGGGACATTCAAGTAATTTTCTGAAGGGGACTTTGTATGGGAGCTAGGGTCAAATGGGGCCCGATCTTTATGATCGGACCCCCCTTTTCGGGGGTTCTATTCTATGGGGGCTAGGTGAAATCATAAACCGATTTTAACCATTTTCAATAGGGTTCGTCCTTGGGTCAAATAAAACGTGCGTGCCAAATTTCATCCAATTATCTTGAAAATTGCGACCTGTACCTTGCGCACAAGGTTTACATGGACAACCAGCCAGCCAGACGGACGGACGGGCGGACATAGCTTAATCGACTCAGAAAACGATTCTAAGCCGATTGGTATACTTTAAGGTGGGTCTAGGCCGAATATTTTTGTATGTTACAAACATCAGCACAAATTCAATATACCCTCCACACTAAAGTGGTGTAGGGTATTATAATTTTGACAGCCATTCATCCAAATTCAACATTTCAACCATCCATATAAAATCAACATACATAGCAGGGTAATAATATTTTAATTGGGTTCCATAAAGAGTTGCTAATCAACTAAAAATTTAATTCCAGTTGGTACAGCAATAATTATAGTTGCTGAAGTGAAATAAGCTCGAGTATCAGCGTCTATTTCTACTGTGAATATATGATGAGCTCAAACAATAAATCCTAATAATCCAATAGCTAATATAGCGTAAATTATTCCTAATGAACCAAATGTTTCCTTTTTACCTGATTCTTGACTAATAATATGATAAATTATTCCAAATATAGGTAAAATTAAAATATAAACTTCAGGGTGTCCAAAAAATCAAAATAAATGTTGGTATAAAATTTGATCTCCCCCTCCTACTGGGTCAAAGAATGAAGTATAAAAATTTCGGTCTGTTAAAAGTATTGTAATAGCTCCTGCTAATACTGGCTATGATTATAAAAGTAATAAAGCTGTAATTACTACTGATCATACAAATAATGGTAATTGCTCAAAAGTAATTCCTGTTTATGGTATATTAATAACTGTAGTAAAAACTAACAGCTCCTAAAATTGATGAAATTGATGCTAAATGAAGAGAGAAAATAACGAAATTAACAGAAGCTCCTCCATGAACATTGTTAGAAGATAATGGAGGGTAAACTGTTCATCCTGTTCCAGCTCCGATTTCTACTATACAACTATCTAATAATGAAGTTAATGCAGGAGTAGGGTTTCCAAATTCCCGGCGTTTTTTGATTCCCGGGAATCGGGAATTCCCGATAAAATAAAAAATTAATTAAAAAAGCGTTTACGCGATGTTTTATTGAATTTTTTTAACATATCATGTAACTTAGAAATATGTATATATAAAATCAGGGTTGGCAAAAGTTTTGAAGCAGTGAAAAGATAAGGGTAACGGTATTTGGATTATTTCGGTAACGTTGTTTTAGCGGTAATGGTAGTGAGATAAGAGGGTATTTTAAAGATGTAATATAGGAAAAATTATTTTAAAATAATATAAATATTTTAGAGATAACAGTAGTAGAGCTGAGGAAACGATAGCTAATCTTTATTTAAATAAAGTAAATAAAATACTCTATTATTTTCTTTATAAATACATACATATGAGTATGTATTGAAGTGTCCCGCGGGCAACTTTTTGAAGGAATACTTGTCCATTTTTGTTGTATAAAATGTGTTACAATAAGCATAGTTGCATTTTTAGAAACTGGCGATAATTTGCTTGACATCTCTCATATGTAACATATTATAAATCTGGAAAACTATTGTAGTTAGAATCTTCAAAATAGTTAAGTGGAATTTTTATTTATATATATTCCTTTTATGGTAGCAAAGCACAATGGGTATAGCTAGTAAAAATATAAAGTAATTAAATAATTACTTAAATACTAAAAATGTTAATAAAAATAATTGATTATTAATAGTTAAAGATTGAATAACAATTCATTTAGGGAAAAATTCTAAAAATTGAGGTAATCCTCCTAACGATAATAAATTAAAAATAAAAAATTTTATAATTTTTGAATGAAAATAATTGATTAATATAAGATGTTTTAAACATATTAAATATAAAATTTTTTGTAAATGAAAGGATTGAATACAAAAAAATGTGTTATTCATAATGAGGGTTTCCAAATTCCAGACGTCTTTTGATTCCCGGGAATCGGGAAAAAAATATTCATACACCCGGGAAATCCTGATAAAATAAAAAATAATTAAAAAAGCGTTTACGCGATGTTTTATTGAATTTTTTTTTACATATCAGGTAACTTAGAAATTTGTACATACATGGGAGATCTGACAACTCCGTGTGGAGTTGTCAGATCTCCCATCGGACGCGTCCCAGGTGGCGGATAGGGGGAGCTAAGCATGGTCTTTTTCGACACATTGGACATAATGGTCGAAAACGACGACGCTAGCTCGAGATAAGGCAGACCTGACTAGATACATTTTTGACAAATGGTCTAACAAGCCTGTCATATCTAGATGAGTGCATGAATCAGGACAATCTTTTATCACATCAGTGGATACATTTTTGACAAATGGCCTACTGATATGTAAAGAGATGGTAGAGTGCTGATATGATTTATGGTACACCTGATAACAGGCGGTCATATATGATAACAGGACTTCTCCTGTTCCCCATGCACAAATCCGCGGACCAAAACTGTCAACCCCACCCCCATCCCCATATTTCCCAATCCACCTAGTTTATCCCTCTTCAATCCAATCCCAATAACCCATTCCCTCATCCCCCACTTGTAAGGTTAAGGTGGTTGGAAGCAGTGCCGAGAACCTGAATGGCTAGTTAGTGGTTAAAGAGGACTAGTCGTTAACAGCTCCCCTCCGATGCCAGGGCACGGATCGGTTGTAATGCTTAGCCTAGCCCACGTACGCCGTCCCTGCGTGGGTCGTCCACCCATTACGCGCCTACTCGTGGGAATCACATGGAGAAAAAAACAAATAAACAAACAAACAACAAACAACCCGTGGAAAGCCAGTTGGGGAAACCTAAACTGGTGGACTGCAAACAGCCTGCTATCCAACCTTCTGGTGATAGCACGGCTGAACGCAGCGAGGAAATCTTGTCCGTAGTGGCAAGCACCTCATCAGCTGCACAAGCCTTAGCTGGTACGCCAGCAAATACCCCTGCCTCGGGCACTGCGGACCAAGCAGTGACCCCCGCGACTTCTGGACAGGTTGGATCGTCGAACTCGATGTCGGGTCCAACTAATGCCCCCTCAACCGCCCTCACGGCTAACGAAAACCCCCCTAGTCGCAAAGATCCATCTAGGAAGGCTTTTGTTCAAAGGCGTGCCGCCATGCGTTTAGTCGAGCGACTTGGAGTTAAGTCGGTCGATACGCTTACCCCGGACGAAAAATCGTCCCTAGATTGGGCTAAAGCCCTACTGGCTCAGCCGGAGTGTTCTGACCCTCCTACAACCTCAGATGCAGCGGACCAAGCTACATCTGCAGGGCCTAAACGGCAGCGATCGGAGAAAGAACATGCTCTCCAGGCAGTCCCACAGCCGAAGACTAAACGTCAGAAGCAGTTCGAGACTCGTATAGTCAATAGACCCTACAGCGAAGTTGCCAAAAACCCGCTGGTTAGGGCCATTGTTGACAAGAGTGTCAACGACGGAGCTATCTCCCAGGATAAATGGTTGATAATCCGTCAAAAAATGCTGGAGGTGTATTGGAAAATTCTCAAAGAGAATCCCGGTCCATCTCCGCAGAATGATGATGCTGGCTGGTACCAAGGTCACATCAAACTGCTGGCGTGCACGAACGAGCGCTCAGCAAACTTGCTTAAGTTGGCGGTTACGTCTATAGGGGAAGTGTGGCCCGGCGCGAAACTTGACGTGATCCCGGTTAGTGAGATACCTCGCAGACCGAGATCAATCACGGTTATTCCGGCGGAACCACACGAACCAGAGGCGATTCTGGCGTACCTTCAGAGTGGAAACCCTGACCTACCTACCCACAATTGGAAGGTAGTCAAGGTCTCCGAACCTGAAGGTGCTAACAGAAAGGCGGTCGTGGTCCTTAATAAGGAATCGTTGCCGTTACTCCGAGAGAAGCAAGGCAAAGTATACTACGGATTTGATAGTATCAAGCTGCGCGTCTACCGGGGTGACGACAAACTAGACCCCAAACCGGTAAGCACGGACGGAGGAAAGGTAGACGATACCACTAACTCTGACGACCAAATGGACGCCCAATCAAGTACAGACTTGATTGGGAATCTATTTGATAGCCAGGGCGAAGTGATTGACGAAGACGAGCTTCTGAAAACAGACCCAGAAGACGCCGACGTCACAATCGTCTACGACCCTGACCAAGATGAAGGTGATCCAAGTGAACCTTCACCACTCTAAAGCAGCTTCAGCTGCATTACACCTCCACCTTGGATATCAAGGGGAGGATATAGCGTTGATCCAAGAGCCGTGGACCCATAACGGCAACATACTTGGAATCAACGTAAAAGGCTATAGAATACTATACGCAAAAGGCACAGGTAACATTAGATCTTGCATACTTGCTAAAAGCACCCTAAATATCTTCATTCTATCTGATTACAGTGATGAAGATACAGTAACCGCAGCATGGGAGACAGAGGAATCCACAATGATAAAATGGGCAATAAACAGCTTTAACCCATATAAGTCACCGGGCCCGGACGGCATAATTCCAGCTGACCTGCAATATAATGCAGAATTAGTTATACCATGGCTACTTGAAATATTTCAAGCCTGTCTTACATGGTCATACGTACCAGAACAATGGACCAAATGCAGTGTGACGTTTATCCCCAAAGGAGGAAAAACAACGCACATTAAGGCAAAAGATTATAGGCCCATAAGTCTATCATCGTTTCTGCTTAAGACCCTAGAGAGGATCATTGACGTCCACATAAGATCGTCAATAGATTCTATGCTCCTATCTCCCTCACAACATGCCTACACCAAAGGCAAATCAGTTGAGACGGCCCTACACTCACTAGTGGGACATATAGAAAAGTCCTTGGAATTTGGTGAATACACGTTAGTGGCCTTTCTGGACATAGAAGGAGCCTTTAACAACGTCAAACCCGACATCATCATATCAGCTCTAGAAGAGCTCGGTATTGAGACATCAGTGATTAAATTCATAAAAGACCTTCTTCAACACAGGATTATCCGTTCTAACATGGGAATGGCATGTATTCAAAGAATGGCAATCAGGGGCACACCTCAAGGTGGAGTCCTATCACCACTTTTATGGAATGTGGCCATAAACAGCCTACTAATGAAACTGGACAACCAAAGATACAAGACTGTCGCTTACGCAGATGACGTTGCGGTAGCAGTATCAGGTTTCCATCTGAATACGATATCTCAAAGACTCGAATCAGCACTCAATCTACTAAGTAAATGGAGCGTTGATAGTGGTTTGAGTGTAAACCCTAGTAAAACCGAACTTGTACTCTACACCAGGAAATACAAGATCGAAAATTTTACCCTACCTCGACTAAACGGAGTCGTACTCTCACTTTCGAACAGTGCGAAATACCTAGGGGTGATACTTGATAGTAAACTATCATGGAAGGAAAATATCACAGCCAGAGTAAACAAAGCCTTAATGGCAATGTACATTTGCAAGAAGGCCATAGGAAAAAGATGGGGACTAAATCCCAAACTGGTAAATTGGATCCATGAAGCGGTTATTAAACCTATTCTCTTTTACGGGGCTGTTGTCTGGTGGAAAGCACTGGACAACAACTCCAATTGTATACTTCTTGATAAGGTACTAAGAAGGATAGCAATCCTTATAACAGGAGCACTGAGAACAACTTCAACCAAATCTCTATTCGCAATGCTTAATTGGATCCCAACGGATCTGATAGCCAGAAAACTGGCACTCATCACTGCCCTCAGACTTGATGCCATAAATGCTTGGACACACAGGCCATACGGCCATGCGGCTATTATGAGGGAAACATCTTTCCTCCCGGGCAATATTGATTACTGCATACCCAAACCTTTCCTCCGTAGGGACTTCGGATACACAATATCCGAAAACTCTTCACCGGAGGATAACAGTTCCCCAAGAACCCTCCTGGTATATACGGATGGTTCTAAAAAAGGGGAACGAGTTGGAGGTGGCATTTTTATCCCTGAATTTGGAACTAAAATAAGCTTTAGGATACAGAATAATTGTAGTCCACTACAGGCTGAACTATCAGCCATAAAAAGAGCAGCAAATTGGCTTTGGTACTACAGAATATCAAACAGAGATATTCAAATTTGTACCGACAGCCAAGCTGCTATCAAATCCCTGATTGGTGTATATACTACATCTAAACTAGTCCAGGAATGCCGGGCATCCTTAAACAGGATGGCGAGACATTCAATAATCGTGCTCAAATGGGTACGGGGACACGGGGATTTGACTGGCAACTATATCGCTGATGAATTAGCGAAACTAGGAGCCTCAATGTCCGACAGAGACATAGACATCTTTTGCGGAATACCGCTAAAAGCTTGCAAGACCATAATAGATGGAAAGTTCTATGAAATTTCTCAGACAAGATGGCGTAATGAACCAACTTGTATCAATACAAGGAAGATATGGCCAAATTTGGACAGTAAACGCACGTCATATCTTCTGCAACTAAACCGCCCTCATATCAGCAACCTTGTTGCTGTCATTACGGGGCATATCTCATTGGGAAACCATGCAAGAAGACTTGGAATTCCCCACAACGACTTCTGTAGAAGCTGTCAAGACGAAGAGGAGGAAGAATCCATCGAACATCTTCTCTGTCAATGCCCGGCGCTAGCGGACACTCGATCAGTATATCTAGGAAAACGACTATTTGATGACTTGTCAGAACTATCCAATCTAGGACTGGATAACATAAACGCCTTCATCAGGCACAGTAACTGGTTTTAGGACCACCAAGCCATAATTAAGGCACTCACTAGTCCGCAAGGACAGACCTCTCAATCTTCTCTTCCACTTCAATTTCTCTTCTATGACTTAATCCTAAACTATCTTCTACTATCCTCTACCCTCTTTCTTTTATATTTTATTATCTTTACAGGTATCACAAAGGGACCAACAGGACCCAAGTGTGCGTCTTTGCAGCCTGAATACCTAACCTAACCTAGTTTTGAAGCTGTGAAAAGATAAAGGTGAAAGTACACAACACGCGTTGTACGCGGCAGCGCGTTATAGGCTTCTGTCCAATAAAGTTGAAATAGTGTATTTTCATTTAACAAGTTACACACTGTAGTTTGTAACGCGTCTGCCGCGAAAAGTTCAGCAACATCCAACTTTTGACGCGTCTGCAGCTGATCAGGGTTGTATTTTGTTTTGTGTATAATAAGAATAAACTAAAATGAAATATATTTCACCAACAATGAAAGAAAAATATTAAAAAATAAACAAAAACTTAAAATTTTGATTTTTAAAACAGTAATAGTCTTAAAAAACATTAAAAGATCGATCAAAATGGCGCGTGGTGTGTAACTTGCAGCTTGTAAAGCGCGAAAAGTTTGCAAAGCGTACAACGCGTTGCCGCCTCAACGCGTATTGTGTACTTCTAACTTTAGGGTAACGGTATTATTATATACGGATTATTTCCGTACCGTTATTTTAGCGGTAATGGTAGTAAGATACAAGGGTATTTTAAAGGTGTAATATAGGAAAGATTATTTAAAAATAATATAAAATAACGGTAATTCGGTAACGTCGTTTTAAGGTGGAAGTACACAACACGCGTTGTACGCGGCAACGCTTTAACAAGTTACAAAATGTAGTTTGTAACGCGTCAGTCGCGAAAAGTTCAGCAACTATTAACTTTTGACGCGTTGGCAGCTGATCATGGTTGTATTTTGTTTTGTCGCAGTCGTAATTCAGGTCTCTCGTCATCGCGATTATTTTTTAAACGCGTTCAGGCTTGTGTTTGTTGCCTGGCTTTCGACAGTTTTGCGTCTCGCTCGCACTAGTGTAGTGTATTATTTCATATAACAGTTCAAAGTTATACATATGTTGTCTACATTAACCTCGTGCTTTCGTATCACCTCAAGTGAGGTTTTATTGGTGGATACCATAGAATACTCAAACGTTTATACCCTGGTGGAGACCATTAAAACTTTTCAAATTTACTGGTGGAGTACCATTAAAAACTAAAATTTTGCAAAAGTGTTTAAAGGTTTCCAGCTTCCTATATGAATATTGTCATGATTCTTTATTTGGTTACAAAAATTAATGTCACACTGGCAACTTGTCTATTCGTGCACGACTATGGCTCATGGGCTTGGGCGGTGGTACGTCGCAGTGGAAAGGTTTTATGGTATATCATGACACTAATATTTGTGCCAGTGTACTAGACGGAAATTTTCATTTATGATAGACATGGTGATATAGTCTACATTGCCCTCCCTTAAACCTTGGTAACCTAAACATTAACTTCCTAAAGTTACCCCTACTCTCAGTTTACCATCCGATACCTACCTTCGAAAAGCTTAACGCAACATATTCTTCAGTGACATGTCAATAAATTAATAGCTGTCGTTTATGTACTAAAAATTTATTCATATATATTTTAGGAGTTCACAAATACTCATGTTTTAACTATATATTAATTATATGCTATACAATTCTACTTATGACCTAGGCAGATTATCTTAAACATACATATATGTAAATCTTAAAATTATTGTCTTAAGCAATTGTAACAACGATCTTTCTTATTTTGTGTATTTGCCCAAAATAGTAGGCTTCCAAGGAAACAAATTTTAAATAAGAAAACTCAAATTGTATTTTTAGTTCGTACTAAAAAGAATTGGAGTCTATTATTTTGATTAAATATTAATTAAAAACTCTTGTTAAATTTATCTTGGAAATCAAATAAACTCGGTTTTCTTTATAGTTGAACTCTGCAAAATACCCAAATTAGTAATCGTCAATATTAAACTTTCAAAGCTAAATTACGTAAATATCTTATTTATAAGAATATTAATATAGTAATATCTTATTATAAGATTATTATACGTTATCCAAAAATATCCTATTCGAATTTTAATTTTTTATCAAATCTTATTTCAATTTGATATTCACAGCCCTGATAATTCTGTTAACTATTATTATCTAATTAACAGAATTTTCGAAGCTGTGACTCCCAAACTTTGCTTTATATATACTCTAAAATATTTCCCCAATGACTGTAAACATTTGTCTACTCTACTGTAATTGTATTTATCTTTACTGATCTGTTATATTTTGTGGATAGATGAATGTAGAGCTTGCAGTGGTTATCCAAAAATAGGCTGTTGTCAAAAGAGTTGATGAAAATGAATGTATGTAACGATGACTCTCAAACTGTATGTTGTTTTTAAGCTATACATATGTTAAAAAAATTTATGTTGATTTTATATGACTTTAGTCACAAAAAAACCCAGCGAAAAGTTTTCATTGGCAAATTCAGTGTAAACTCTATATTCTGGTGTTACGGGGAGAAGCGTTGCTGACATTAGTGGTATTTCTTTTGTGTCATCAAAATGTTTGGCCGAATGACTGGATGTCGTATGCCGGATTCCCATTAAGTAAATTTAAGGCCAATAAGCTGTATTTATGT